CGGCTCGAAGAAGCTGTCCAGAAGAAGCCAAGCGAGTGGAAGGCAAACGAGGTGAAGGAGTTTGACACCTACATTCTTGGAAATGAAGGTTTGGACTCAAAGCTGATCGTGCGCCCCTGCTACCCGAAAATGCGGGAAGAGGCAATGAAGTGGCTTGAGACCAGGTTCAGTTCCAAACGCACTGGACTTTTCGTCATCACTGGCACTCCCGGCATTGGCAAGTCGATTTTCCTTGCCTACATGGCTGGGTTCTTGGCAGAGAAGAACTATGACATTGTGATCCAAAGAGGTCAGGAATGGTGGTCAAGAGCCGGTGGTAAGGTCGTTGCACATGGTGAGCAAAAGCCTTTGAACTTTCTCAAGAACGCAGAGACAGTGCTGTTGTTTGACCCCATCGGAGGTGAGAACAGGACGCCTCTACAGAACCGAGACATGGGATGCACTATGGTTTTCACATCACCCAGCAGGTCAAGCCACCATTCTGCATACAATCAGCAACGGGTTCATAGTGCTGTCCGGTTCATGCCTGTATGGACAAAGGAGGAGGTTCAAAGATTCAAACATGTTATGTTTGCGCCAGATCCTCTAGAAGAGTCTGTGAACAAGGCTTACTCATCACTTGGTGGCACTGTGCGCTTATTGCAGCTTTGGCACAAGAAGAGTCTGTAGAGAACATTGTTGAGAACTACATGGGCGGAATCAGCACTGCGGAACTCAAGCACGTTGCGAATGTTGCAGGATCTAGCCCAGAAAGCATGGACAACGCGGATGCCGAGAAAAGAGGAAAGCTGAGCTACCTGTTCCAAATGAGCACTTCGGAGGATTTCAAAACGGCAACTGTGCGTTTCCTCGACTCCCAGGTTGTCGTGGGTCTGCTTGAGAAGAAACTTGAGATCCGTGGAAAGCAAGAGCGCTTAGATTTCATCACCACCTTTATGTCCATGAGCCCTTTGGGCACTGTGGTTGGCAGTTTCTTTGAGAAGCACGTGAAACAAGAGCTGACATCTGACAAAGCAATGAAGCTAGCGCTCAAAGGTATTTGCGCAAAGGGCATCACCATCACTGTTCCAAACAAAGAGGAAGAAGTGAAGAAGGCGCCAGACCTTACAAAGATTTTGCCTGACCGATTGTATTGCCCTTCGTCAAAGATTTTCCCGGCTGCAGATTTTTTCTTCGTAACTGTCAAAGCCAAAAAACAAGAGGATCTGACCCTGTGGCTGTTGCAGACCACCAAGGCTGAGGGACACTCATTCAAACTGAAAGCCCTGCAAGATGTGATGAACAAACTCTTCGAGAAGGATTCGTTGAAGAAAGTGAGATGTATTAAGTGGGTGGTGGTTGTTCCAAACCAGATAATTGAAATGTCTCCCACTGCTTACACGACCAAACAGAGCGTCGAAGGAGACTGGAAAAACGGCGAGGAGAAAGTTCCTGCAGAGCAGTACCTTTTCAGATGGGACACAAAGAAATGATCGATTCTGATTGCTGCAGAGGTGTTGAAAAAGCGGTTCAGCCACGCGCCGGGGAAAAACGAACAAGAATAGCGTTTTTCGTCCACATGTGTGAATTAGATTGAGGAGCTGAAAAATGAATGTAGGGGACCTTGTTCACCCACCACCTGCCAAACTATTTACCAATGATGAAATCCCCCAAAATGAATGAGAATAGCTTTGGGAATAGTGTTGATCAATTTTTGGTAAAATGATTGATATTTTGGTTAAAATTCTATGAGTAAATGCATTTGTGAAAATGAATGTGGGGGGCAGAATGGCACACTCCCGATGAACAAGGTGTCCGCTAACTGATATATATATATATACATATATATATACGATATACATATATATATACACATAATATGCATATATATATATATGATATACGTATATATATATATATGATATATGAATATTTATGCACATGTTTCAAAATATATATGTATGTATGATATCTTTGAATATATATACATATATTAATATATATATATATGAAAATCTATAGTTAAATGAATATATATTCATATGTATATATACATAATGAATATATATAAATATACACATATGAATATATATCTAGTTATATGAATATGAATATATTATATATATATAGTTATAGCGACGGACACATACTTAGAACATCATTTGGAAAAAATCTGAAAACCGTCACAGCGGGGATGTTCTAAGTATTAAGTCGTTAGAACATACCCAAAACCTATACTTAGAACATTTCCAAGCTATACTTAGAACATCCCAGTGGGGAACCAATGGGAACCATACATATATGTATTGAAACCTATGCTTTGACTACCCCCTGTAGGAAACCCACAAATTATATACTAGAGACCTTCCCATTGCAGCGAAGACTGCTTGGGATATTGTTCCCGAAGAAAAGGTATAGAATGCTGCAGCAGTGAGGGGAGAAAGTGTTCTAAGTATGGTGTTCACCAAGGTATTTGTGTGTATATATGCAGATTTACCAAAGTAACAGGACATGTTCTAAGTATATGTGTGTTTAATGTTCTAAGTATGCAAAAAATCAAAGGAGATGTTCTAAGTATCTGTTTTTCTGATGTTCTAAGTGCGTACTTAGAACATTTCTGATGTTCTAAGTGTAGTTGTTTTGATGTTCTAAGAAAAGGTTCCGAAATTTTGGAAAATTTGATGTTCTAAGTATATGTCCGTCACTATATATGAATATATATATATATGTGTATATATATATATGAATGTATATATATATGAATATATATATACACATGTGAATATATATATATATGGTTATATATTTATGATCATATATATGATTATATATGTGATTACATATATATATATGATTAAATATATATATATGACTATATATTTATGATCATATCTATGATTATATATGTGAATATATATATATATATGATTATATATATATATATGATTATATATATATGATTATATATATATATGATTATATATATATATTTACATATTGCATAGATATCAGGTGTCAAGATTACCTTCTAAAAAGAGCAGCAAGAGAAAGAACCACTGGGGGATCAATCGCATTTTGGGGAACCGGGTCTGCCAGGTCTGAGCCAGGCAGCCCAGGCACAGCAACTGCATCAGTTCTTGGGTCACCTTTCAAGGCTGATGTAACTAGGAGAACTTTGAGACACTGAACGATTTTTTGTGGAAGATGTTGGCTATAGCGGCTAGGAATACCATTCTTCTACCCGTGGTCGTGGACTTGGAAGGATGTTTGTTTCGGTGACCAACTCGCAGGCCCTGCCCTCATTTCCACAAAGCAACGGGTTTGGAACTCAGATGACTGGACGGCTTGGAAGATTTGGACATGATGATTGCTAATGATATTATAGATATCCATATAGATTAGAATATCAGATGGATATTGATGGATATTGGCGCTATCATCCAACTCTCATGAGTTGAACAAATTTTTGTGTTGAAAAGGATCTTTGCATCGCATCCATGCTTTAGTGGGACATCTGCAAAAAATGAGTTCCTTCCTTGTGGAAACCTGGCTACAAGACTTGAGAGTTGAACCCCCAAGATCTGATTTCACCAGCTGTACAAGCAGTTCTACTCTTTAGCCATTTATTTCTGAATACCTCAGTGGTTTTGGACATCCTGTTGCGCACAGTCAGCAGCGACTATGCCAGCAGGTTGACACTTAACGCAGGAGAGTCTGCTCGAAGCTTAGCCCGTGATCTACTGTTACCCAGAAGATCATTCAAAGACATATGGATACATATGGGGTTTCCTAAAATGGGGGATCCCCAAAGCCATGGGTTTCAATACTAAAACGGTCTAATGTTG